ACAGACAGACAGACAGTGAGAGAGACGGTGGCTATCAGGGAGAGACAAAAAGACAGACAGACAGTGAGAGAGGTGGTACAGGAAGACAAAAAGACAGACAGACAGTGAGAGACGGTGGCTATCAGGAGAGAGACAAAAAGAGACAGACAGACAGACAGTGAGAGACGGTGGCTATCAGGAGAGACAAAAAAGACAGACAGACAGACAGTGAGAGAGACGGTGGCTATCAGGGAGAGAGACAAAAAGAGACAGACAGACAGACAGTGAGAGACGGTGGCTATCAGGAAGACAAAAAGAGACAGACAGACAGTGAGAGACGGTGGCTATCAGGGAGAGAGACAAAAAGAGACAGACGACAGTAAAGACGGTGGCTATCAGGAGAGACAAAAAAGAGACAGAAGTGAGGTGGCTATCAGGAGAGACAAAAAAGAACAGACAGCAGTGAGACGGTGGCTATCAGAGAGAGACAAAAAGACAGACAGACAGTAGAAGACGGTGGCTATCAGGGAGAGACAAAAAGACAGACAAACAGTGAGACGGTGGCTATCAGGAGAGAGACAAAAAAGAGACAGACAGACAGTGAGAGACGGTGGCTATCAGGAGAGAGAGAAAAAGAGACAGACAGACAGATGAGAGACGGTGGCTATCGGGAAGACAAAAAGAAGACAGACAGACAGTGAGACGGTGGCTATGGGAGAGACCAAAAAAGAGACAGACAGACAGTGAGAGACGGTGGCTATCGGGAGAGAGACAAAAAAGAAGACAGACAGACAGACAGTGAGAGACGGTGGCTATCAGTGAGAGACAAAAAGAAGACAGACAGACAGTGAGACGGTGGCTATCAGGAGAGAGACAAAAAGAACAGACAGACGAACAGTGAGACGGTGGCTATCAGGGAGAGAGACAAAAAGAGACAGACAGACAGTGAGACGGTGGCTATCAGGGAGAGACAAAAAAGAGACAGACAGACAGACAGACAGTGAGAGCGGTGGCTATCAGTGAGAGAGAGACAAAAAAGAGACAGACAGACAGTGAGAGAAAGTGGCTATCAGGGAGAAGACAAAAAAGAGACAGACAGACGACAGTGAGAGACGTGGCTATCAGGAGAGAGACAAAAAGAGACAGACAGACAGTGAGACGGTGGGTATCAGGAGAGAACAAAAAGAACAGACAGACAGTGAGAGACGGTGGCTATCAGGGAAGAGAGAAAAAAAGAGACAGACAGACAGACGAAGTGAGAGCAGTGACTATCAGTGAGAGAGACAAAGACAGACAGACAGTGAGAGACGGTGGCTATCAGGGAAGACAAAAAGAAGACAGACAGACAGACAGTGAGAGACGGTGGCTATCAGGAGAGAGACAAAAAGAACAGACAGACAGTGAGAGACGGTGGCTATCAGGGAGAGAACAAAAAGAGACAGACAGACAGTGAGAGACGGTGGCTATCAGGGAGAAGACAAAAAGAGACAGACAGACAGACAGACAGTGAGAGACGGTGGCTATCAGGAGAGAACAAAAAGAAGACAGACAGACAGACAGTGAGACGGTGGCTATCAGGGAGAGAGACAAAAAAGAGACAGACAGACAGTAAAAGACGGTGGCTATCAGGGAGAGAACAAAAAGAGACAGACAGACAGTGAGAGACGGTGGCTATCAGGGAAGACAAAAAAGACAGACAGACAGTGAGAGACGGTGGCTATCAGGGAAGACAAAAAAGAGACAGACAGACAGTGAGAGACGGTGGCTATCAGGGAGAGACAAAAAAGAGACAGACAGACAGTGAGAGACGGTGGCTATCAGGAGAGAGACAAAAAGAGACAGACAGACAGACAGTGAGAGACTGGCTATCAGGGAGAGAGACAAAAGACAGACAGACAGACAGTGAGAGACGGTGGCTATCAGGGAGAGACAAAAAAGAACAGACAGACAGACAGTGAGAGACGGTGGCTATCAGGGAGAGAGACAAAAAGACAGACAGACAGTAAGAACGGTGGCTATCAGGAGAGAGACAAAAAGAAGACAGACAGATGAGAGGGTGGCTATCAGGGAGAAGACAAAAAGAAGACAGACAGACAGTGAGACGGTGGCTATCAAGGAAGACAAAAAGAGACAGACAGACAGACAGACACTGAGAGACGGTGGCTACTGGGAGAGAGAGACAAAAAGAGACAGACAGACAGACAGATGGAGAGATTGTGGCTATCAGGGAGAGACAAAGAGACAGACAGACAGACAGTGAGAGACGTGGCTATCAGGGAGAGAGACAAAGAGAGACAGACAGACAGTGAGAGACGGTGGCTATCAGGAGAGAGACAAAAAGAGACAGACAGACAGTGAGAGACGGTGGCTATCAGGAGAGAGACAAAAAGAGACAGACAGACAGACAGACACTGAGAGACGTGGCTATAAGAGACAAAAGAGACAGACAGAGGAGAGTGAGAGAGAGACAAAAAGAGACAGACAGACAGACAGTGAGAGGTGGCTATCAGAGAGAGACAAAAAGAGACAGACAGGCAGACAGTAGAGACGGGCATCAGGAGAGAGACAAAAAGAGACAGACAGACAGTGAGACGGTGGCTATCAGGAGAGGACAAAAAGAGACAGACAACAGACATGAGAGAGTACACAGAGAGACAAAAAGAGACAGACAGACAGACACTGAGAGACGGTGGCTATCAGGAGAGAGACAAAAGAGACAGACAGACAGACAGACAGACACTGAGAGAGTGGCTATCAGGGGAGAGACAAAAAGAGACAGACAGACAGACAGACACTGAGAGACGGTGGCTATCAGGGAGAGACAAAAAGACAGAGAGTGGGGTAGGGAGAGACAAAGAGCAGACAGACAGACAGTGGAGAGGTGGCATCAGGAGAGAGACAAAAAGAGACAGACAGACAGTGAGAGATGGTGCTATCAGGGAGAGAGACAAAAGAGACAGACAGACAGACAGTGAGAGACGGTGGCTATCAAGGAGAGAGACAAGAGACAGACAGACAGAATGAGAGACGGTACATCAAGGAGAGAGACAAAGAGACAGACAGACAGACAGACAGTGAGAGACGGTGGCTATCAGGGAGAGAGACAAAAAGAGACAGAGACAGACAGACAGTGAGAGACGGTGGCTATCAGAGAGAGACAAAAGAGACAGACAGACAGACAGACATGAGAGACGGTGGCTACTGAGAGAGACAAAAAAGACAGACAGACAGACACTGAGAGAGCTATCAGGAGAGAGACAAAAAGAGACAGACAGACAGACACTGAGAGACGGTGGCTATCAAGAGAGAGACAAAAGAGACAGACAGACAGACACTGAGAGATTGGCTATCAGAGAGAGACAAGAGACAGACAGACAGACAGTGAGAGACGGTGGCTATCAGGAGAGACAAAAGAGACAGACAGACAGTGAGAGACGGTGCATCAGGGAGAGAGACAAAAAGAGACAGACAGACAGACACTGAGAGATGGTGGCTATCAGGGAGAGAGACAAAAGAGACAGACAGACAGACACTGAGAGACGGTGGCTATCAGGAGAGAGACAAAAAGAGACAGACAGACAGACACTGAGAGACGGTGGCTATCAAGGAGAGAGACAAAAGAGACAGACAGACAGACACTGAGAGACGGTGGCTATCAGGAGAGAGACAAAAAGAGACAGACAGACAGACACTGAGAGACGGTGGCTATCAGAGAGACAAAAAGAGGACAGACAGACAGACAGGAGACGGTGGCTATCAGGGAGAGAGAGACAAAAAGAGACAGACAGACAGAAGACAGGAGAGACGGTTAGAGAGACAAAAAAGAGACAGACAGAGGTCATTAATGTATATATTACACTAAACAAGAACAACTCATAATATGGCTTCGCAACACCAGCGTCCGTAGCGTCCGTGGGAGAGATTTACGTCCGTGGGAGTCCGTCATCTCCCAGGTAAGCCGTCAAGAGCGTCCGTAGTGTCCGTGGGATAATTTCACGGACTGTCCATGAGGATATTGTGGGGTTCATCACACCACTCGGCCTCCAGCGCCTCCTACCTCACACCACTTGGCCTCCAGCGCCTCCTACCTCACACCACTTGGCCTCCAGGACCTCCTACCTCGTACCCCACAACCTACAAGACCTCTTATCTCACACCACCCGGCCTCCAGAACCTCCTACCTCATACCCCACGACCTCCAGGACCTCCTACCTCACACCACTCGACCTGCAAGGCCTCTTACCTCACACCACTTAACCTCCAGAACCTACTACCTCGTACATCCCGACCTACAAGACCTACCTCACACCACCCGGCCTCCAGAACCTCCTACCTCACAACCCGGCCTCCAAGACCTCTCCCTCACACCACGCGGCCTCATGGAACAAGTGAGGCGAATAACAGGAACGGAATGTTAGAACTACTTAATGATGAGACAGACAGACAGAGAGACAGACAGACAGACAGAGACAGATAGACAGATATACAAACAGACAGACAGACAGAGACAGATAGACAGATATACAGATAGACAGATATACAAACAGACAGGCAGACAGAGACAGATAGACAGATATACAAACAGACAGACAGACAGAGACAGATAGACAGATATACAGACAGAGACAGATAGACAGATATACAGACAGACAGACAGACAGACAGAGACAGACAGACAGATATACAGATAGACAGATATACAAACAGACAGACAGACAGAGACAGATAGACAGATATACAGACAGAGAGACAGAGAGAACGTGAAGATGGGTAGATAATGAATATCGTGTGTTTTATATAGTAAGTGTTCAAGAGGTGGTTTATATAAGTGTATATTGAGAGACTGTCAGTACTTACCTGCACGACTGCCTAATTAGAGACGAAGTTAGTGAAGAAGTTAGTGTGGTGGTGGTGATGGTGGTGGTGAAGGTGGTGGTAGTGGTGGTGGTGGTGGAAATGGTTGCGGTGGTTAAAAACAATGGTAACACTTCTACCGGACCATTTACAACACTGATGTACTTATGACACTACAACATTGGCAACACTGCCTTATTAACAGCTCCAGGAACATCAGCCCCTCGCCACAGTGCCAGCCCCTCGCCACAGTGCCAGCCCCTCGCCACAGTGCCAGCTCCTCGCCACAGTGCCAGCCCCTCGCCACAGTGCCAGCTCCTCGCCACAGTGCCAGCCCCTCGCCACAGTGCCAGCCCCGCCACAGCGCCAGCCCCGCCACAGTGCCAGCCTCGCCACAGCACCCAGCCCCCAGGCACAGCCCTCTGCCACAATGCTGGCCCTCGCCACAGCACCAGCCCCTGCCACAGTACCCCAGCTCCCGCCAGCAGCACCAGCCCCTGCCAGCTGGCACCAGCCTCGCCACAGCACCAGCCCCTCGCCACAGCACCAGCCCTCTGCCACAGTACCAGCCCCTCGCCACAGCACCAGCCCTCGCCACAGTAACAGCCCCGCCAGCAGAGTGCTGGCCCCTTGCCACAGTACTCAGCCCTCGCCACACAGTGCTCAGCCTCCCCGCCAGCCAGCCCCTCGCCACAGCACCAGCCTCGCTGACAGTGGCCTCAGCCTCGCCACAGCAGCCAGCCCAGTGCCAGCCCTCGCCACAGTAACGCCAGCCCCGCCACAGCAGTCAGCCCGCCACAGTAATTCAGGCCTTCGCCATGCGCGCCCCTCTGAGAGTATCCATCCGTCACAGTGCCAGCCTCGCCACAGCGCAGCACCTCGCCACAGTACCAGCCCGCCACAGTGCCAGCCCTCGCCACAGCACCAGCCCCTCGGCCACAGCACCAGCCCTCGCCATGCACCAGCCCTTCGCCACAGCCAGCCCTCGCCACAGCAATTGTGCCCTCGCCACAGTACCAGCTCTTGCTGCAGTACCAGCCCCTCGCCAGCAATGCTGCCTCGCCATAGCATCAGCCCCTCGCCACAGTACCAGCCCCTCGCCACAGTGCCAGCCCCTCGCCACAGTACCAGCCCCTCGCCACAGTACCAGCCCCTCGCCACAATGCCAGCCCCTCGCTCTCGTGGACACAAAACGTGGAGGTGCTCCTTGTCTCACCTGAGTCAGACGTCTTTAAAGAGACTGAGTCAAGTGTTGGTTGAGTCTTGTGGTAAACACCAGGTCGCTACGCTACTCGGCGGTCCAGTGGTACAGTTCCTCAGTGGTACAGTTCATCGGTGGTACAGAGGTTCAGTTCATCGGTGGTACAGTGGTACAGTTCTTCAATGGTCCAGTGGTCCAGTGGTCTTTCATATCAACTAAGAGTATTTGTTGGCCTGACGCTTCCTTTAAACACTGAATAAATAGTTGATATAATAGTGTAACTTTGGGGGTTTTGTGAACGATCATTAAAGACTATAGTTTGTTCACTTGTTAGGTTAGGTTAGGTTAGCTTAGGTTAGGTTAGGTTTGCTTAGGTTAGGTTTGCTTAGGTTAGGTTAGGTTAGCTTAGGTTAGGTTAGGTTAGGTTAGCTTAGGTTACGTTACTTTTTTTATTTTATAGTATGACTTTGGTAACTGGATTAGGTGAGTGTTAGTGTGTGAAGGGTGAGGTCCTCCTACGTCTGGCAAGTAAGTATAAGGGGGAGGAGGAGGCGTGTTGACAGTGAGGGAAATATTATTGAACTGTATGGACTCTTGGCACTCTCCCCCTCCCCCCCCCTCCGGTAAGCGCCCCTCCCCACCTCCTCCCCTCTGTTTAACGCCCCTCTCACCCTATCCTCCCCCGACAAACAGAGACAGACAGACAGACAGAGACAGACAGAGACAGACAGAGACATAAAAGTGGTTTAAATATATATAAATATAAATATAAACAGTGTCCCTCTTTTGCTTCATTTAAAAAGTTGAGAAAAAAATGACGAGTAAAAGAATGAGAAAGAGAATCCTGCCAACACAGAGAGAGAGATTAAGCAACCAGATAAACAATAACAAAAGAAATAATATAAAAAACAAACAAAAAATTATAAAAAAGTAAAACCTTCAATAATTACATTTGAGGAATTAGAAATGATATCATGTGAAGGTTAGGTTAGGTTAGGTCAGGTTAGGTTAGGTTAAGGTTAAGGTTAGGTCAGGTTAGGTCAGGTTAGGTTAGGTTAGGTTAAGTTAGGTTAGGTTAGGTTAAGGTTAGGTCAAGTTAAGGTTAGGTCGGGTCAAGTTAGGTTAGGTCAGGTCTCTCTCACTTGTCCCTGAGCCAAGTCCCTGACCTAAACTTAATTGCGTTTGAAATTTGATCCTCATCCTCCTGCCTCCTCCTCCTCTTCCTTCCTCCCCCTCCTTCTCCTCTTCCTCTTTCTTTCATAATCTGCACTTCCTCTTCCTCCTCATTATCATCTTTTAATTCTTTTTCCACCTCCTCTTCCTTCTTCCAACTGCTTTCCTCCCTATCCACCATCTTCACTACATCGTCCCTCCATCTATCCTCCCTCCTCCCCACCTACCCACCCTCCCCACCCCTCCCCACCTTCCTCTCCTCCTCCTTCCGGTTGTTCAACTACGAGGTCACTAAGTTTAAACGGTGTTGGTCAATTAGTGGTTAAGTTCTCTCTGGGAGTTGTATGTAGGAGAGAGAGAGAGAGAGAGAGAGAGGATAGACAGACACACTCGCACTTGTCAAGATGAATAAGAACCAATCAGCATTCATCACCATGGAGGCCAGAACCAATCGGTGCTCACGATGCCCACAAAGAAGTGGATTCTGTCCACAAAAACAGCTTGGGATCTCGAGAGGGGAAAAACCTTGTGGTGATCAGGGTGTGTGTGTGTGTGTGTGTGTGTGTGTGTGTGTGTGTGTGTGTGTGTGTGTGTGTGTGTGTGTCTGTCTGTCTGTCTCTGTCCCCAGCAATATGTAATGCTCCGCAGCACAATGTCTAGTCATAATTTATCATGTCTGCAATGACCGCCAGAGAAAGACAGACATATGGCTCTCCTACATCCCTCTTCCACTCTGTCTCCATCAGTAAGGTACCACGAGGCAGCTTGTCTTTCTCGTTAAGTGATCACGTTGAAGACTACACATGGCGTAAACCTTTCGTTATAACCAAAAAATTCCTTCGTTACATTTTGTTTTCTTCTTTTTCATTTACATTTACGTTCTATCTAGAGGGGTCAAAGGTCATATTACATTACATATGCATTAACTTAGGTCAATCTTCAAACATTAGGTCAAGGGTCAAAGGTCATATTACATTACCTGTGCATTAACTTAGGTCAATCTTCAAACATTAGGTCAAAGGTCAAAGGTCATATTACATTACCTGTGCATTAACTTAGGTCAATCTTCAAACATTAGGTCAAGGTCAAAGGTCATATTACATTACCTGTGCATTAACTTAGGTCAATCTTCAAACAGGTCAAAGGTACCTGTGCATTAACTTAGGTCAATCTTCAAACATTAGGTCAAAGGTCAAAGGTCATATTACATTACATATGCATTAACTTGGGTCAATCTTCAAACATTAGGTCAAAGGTCAAAGGTCATATTACATTACATATGCATTAACTTGGGTCAATCTTCAAACATTAGGTCAAAGGTCAAAGGTCATATTACATTACATACGCATGAACTTAGGTCAAAGGTGGAATTTACTTTATATACATGTTTACTAATTTGATTTAAATGTTAAATGGTTTACTAAACGATAACAGCTTCAGTGAGGGTTTACAGGGAGGTGAGGGAGGAGGGGGAGAGAGGGGGGGAGAGGGAGGGGAAGGGGGCAGGGAGGGAGGGGAGGAGAAAGGGAGCAGGGACGAGGAAGAAGAGGGGATAACTAAACTCCAAACTCTAAATCGCAAACTGAACCCCAAAACCGAACCCCAACTCCCGAACCCCAACTCCCGAACCCCAACTACCGAACCCCAACTCCCGAACCCTTTCCAGAGATAACCGAGCCACCATATATCAAGGTAACGAATCATCTTTTTATTTTGTTTTTATCTAAGACTCTAAGGCTAATTTATATAACTCATGTCCTACAACCAACACATGTAACTCACACAACTTTACCTGTACTTTAGAGTGATGGAACTTCTAATTAACCCGAGTGAACACCTGTAAGAGTTGTTATGCCTTGATAAGAACACCCATAACTAACAAGACCAGAACAATATATCAGGACGAGGGGGAAATATATTACGATTCTTTACTTGCAAATGTGAGTTCGGGGTTCGGATTAGAGGTTCGGGGTTCGGATTCGAGGTTCAGGGTTAGGGATTTGGATTCGGGTTTCGGATTTCAGGGGTCGGGGGTCTTGGTTCTGGTTCAAGTTACAACATTTGGATTCGGGGCACAGATTCATTATTCGGATTCGCGTTTCAGGGTTCAAAGTTTTGCGTGTGCTTGACAATATCATGTAAACGGAGGTGATGCTGTAGACATGATGTGGAGGTTATGTACACACACACACACACACGCACACACACACACACACACACACACACACACATCATACATAAAAATATTCCCCAAAATTCTAATCCCAATTTGACCCTTAGCTTGTATCAGGCCGTATATTGGATTGGAGGTCATAGTACGTGAAGAGCCAATCACCTCACGAGAAACCCGCAATCACGTGGGTTTAACAAAACTGCCTCCCCTTGACCTGACTCGGTGCCCTAAGCCATTGTCCAGACCTGACCATCCGTACTGACTCATGGCAAATTTCCTCAGTATTTTCTTTACAATATTACCATCACAATATCGGAAATAGCTGCTATGATCGTCAACTGGAAATACGTACACACACACACACACACACTCTTTGTGTTGGTGAGGGTGTGTTGGTGAGGGAGTGTTGGTGAGGGTGTGTTGGTGAGGGTGTGTTGGTGAGGGTGTGTTGGTGGGGTGTGTGGTGAGGGTGTGTTGGTGAGGGAGTGTTGGTGAGGTGTGTGTTGGTGGGGTGTGTGTGGTGAGGTGTGTTGGGTGTGTTGGTGAGGTGTGTTGGTGAGGTGTGTGTTGTTGGTGAGGGTGTTGTTGGTGAGGAGTGTTGGTGAGGTGTGGTGAGGTGTTGGTGAGGTGTTGGTGGTGTGTTGGTGAGGTGTTGGTGGTGTTGGTGAGGTGTGTTGGTGAGGTGTGTGTTGGTGAGGTGTTGGTGAGTGTGTTGGTGAGGTGCTGGTGTTGGTGAGGTGTGTTGGTGAGGGTGTTGGTCGGTGGTGGTGAGGGTGAAGTAAGGTCCAGGTTAGGTTAGGTTATATTTAATCAACAAACAAACCAAACAAGAGTGTATATCTAATAGCTAACTGAAAAATTTTCACTGCTCGTCTTATCATTAACCCTAACTGATAAAAATTCTAGGCGCCCCCACCCCGTCATTACTAGATCTTAGATCGGCCAACTTCACACAGGAGGCTATCAATGCCTTATTCACCTTCTGCAGGAGTATTATTATCTGTCTTCGGTCTCTCCTGACGCAGATCTGAGCCAATACCCCTCTCTCTCTCTCTCCCAGGGTCCTGATGTAGATGATGATGAGAGAGAGAGATGAGAGAGAATCTGTTTTCTTCCAATCAGAAAAAACGACCAGAGAATTGTGTGTGTGTGTGTGTGTGTGATCGTTTGTTTTACACAGCCGTCATTAAGATAACAGGTCGTCTCAGGTACAGGTAATG